GGCTGGCCGCATGGGTGATTTTGGAAATTTTTTGAACGGTTTCGCTAAAAGCCCACGATTGATCGTCCTGAACATTGAAAAATTGTGAAATGCCGTATTCTGTCCGAGGTCTGTATGATAAAAAGTACTGTTTCACCTCAGATGTGATGTATAAAAAGTATAAAAAGTTGGTTTACACACCCTCAGATTTGTTGGCAAGAATTTGTAAAGTAAACCTGTCGAACGCAAAAAAATGCGGCCTGATTTGTTTTCCAAGAATTTGTTTTCGAGACCTAATCTACTGTGATCAAGAGCCATTATGGCTCTTGAATGTGAGAGAAGATATTTGCTATTTTTTGGGGTGTACATATATTTAGGCTATCAACTCGATGTAAGATGTTTCACTCTAAAATAACTTATCCTTTCCCTCAAAAGTCACCTGAATGTGCCCTTAAGTTAACTGATTTGTGGATTACAAGTTTATTGTTTGATTTAAAATATAAATTTATTAATGGGAGCTTCGCTTTTAGCCCTGGCTAAATCTATATATTATGTTATGCTCTTTTCGAAAACTTGATGTCACGGACTTTCTCCAATTTCAAATAACCCCCATACGCGCTGCGAACTTTTCGGCTTCAGCGCCATCCTGGCCAAATTTATTCTCGATTACTGGAATAAAAGTGATGACCTCTGGGATAGCCTTCGATCGTCCCGATCGTCTCAGTCGTCTGAGAGCGTTTCCTTAAAAATTTACATGATCGTCCCGATCGTCCAGATAGAACTCAACTCTATCCAAGCGATCGAGGTCGTCGCAGTCGTCCGGGTCGTTTGCGATCGTCTGGGCAGCGTTTCCATATGATCGTCCCGATCGTCTGAACATTTTTTGAGACGACTGGGACGATCCGGTCGATCATATGGAAACCAAACTGACACATTTAGTATTGAATAATCATGTCAGTTAGTCGTCTTTTGATGTTTGGATAAGGAAATCGTTCTGAAATACATCAACCAAAGAGCCGCAGTTGGTACACGTGATACAGCAGGAATTTGCATGACACACTGGAATTAGCCTAGTTCTAAGGTTCACTCCTCTCACACTGAAAAGCGGGGTGAAAAGGCACCCTCAGTATAAGGCAACTTTGAATCGAACAACGCTACTTCGGCTCTTTTTTACTGAGAAGAAATCAGTTCTAGACATGAAGGTGTTTTTCATTATTGCAACCGTATCCGTGCTGATTCCTGCCTTCGCGGAAGCCTCTCTACAATGTGTCTCCTGTACTGGCGGTAGCTGCGAGACCAGCAATCCCAAGACAGAAGATTGTGACGAGAAATGTTACACCATGGAGTTGCGGAAGAAGAGTCCTGATGAAGAGGACCCGTTTGTCGTGAAAGGATGCACAAGTGACAGCCTGTTTTGGCGACGATCATGTGTCAACAAATGTTACGACTCCAAGAAGGAGTTTGGCTCATCGCTGTATTATATGTGCGTTCACTGTTGCTCCGAAGACAAATGCAACTCCAGTTCACGAGTAAAGGATGGAATAATCATGGTTGTCGTGTCCGCTGCTATTGCTCTTGTCAAATATCTGTACTTTTAGAAGGAGGCAACAAATCGATAACTGTCTGGGACTGAGGAATAATTGGAACTTTTAACGTAATATTTAGTGGCATAGACAGTAGTCTCTAGGGTAAAATGTTCTCATCTGTTTTCCAGCTGGCGTAACTAGATTTATGGAGACTGACCCAGCCGAAAGAGGAGAACTATATACTACTTATGGGCTTAGCTAGCTAGTGTAGGTTACAGTACAAATAAACTAGGAACTTTCACGTGGAACGTTTTTGACTTCTTTTCTTTTTTGCACAAAAGGCTATTATTTCTTGTCATTTAGCGAGCCTCCGATCGCAAACCTTTTGCGAATAAATTTTCTGCTCTACGAACGTCTTAGTCTGTTTTAGTCTCATCGTCTTTTACTTTTTATCATTAAAACTACAGTGAAATGCAAATGCTTATCATCAGAACTCATGTTCACGATCCTAAGCAACTCGACCGCCGAAAGCCGATCTGCTCTGCTTATCATTTTTCCAACCGGAGGGGTTAAAATATTCCGAATTTGACAAACAATCTATGTATAAAGTCTATAAACGCCTGATAAATAAAACGAGGATGATTTAGCGTATATAACTTTTTCAGTTGCCAACATTCTGTCCAGTGTGACCCCAGTAATAACTTTTAAAGTCCTTTTATTGGTATACAAGGCCCTTCATGGCCTTGCACCTTCTTATATTTCTGGCCTTTTGAATTTTAAAACATACTCTAGGTCATTGCGTTCTTCATGTAAAGAATATTTAGTGGTTCCAAGAAGCAGATTGAAAACATATGGAGACAGAGCTTTCTCTATTGCAGGACCTAAATTGTGGAACAATTTACCTCTAGAGATTAGGAAATGTGCTTCAGTGGCAACTTTTAAGCAATCCCTTAAAACTTTTTTATTTAAGTTAGCATATAGGTTATGAGATTCCTTTTGTTTTAAGATGTTTTTGATTTATATAGTAGATAACTTAGGCTATATTTGAATTATATTGTATATTGTAGATATTTTATAATTTAGATTTTTTTTTATATATATATTCTTTTTTGTAATTGGGTAGCGCTTTGGACAATTATTGGATTTTAGCGCTATATAAATAAAATTATTATTATTATTATTATTATTAGTGTTTTAGTACATCTTTGAGTCTCTAAGTTAAAAATAATGCTATTGATCATGAGGGGGTTGACAGTCTGAGCTAACTGAGTTTGGCTTTAATTTTTGGGGCCGGACTATGGGCTATGTCACAATTTGATATCTAAAAAAACAACGTGACTTCGCATCGATTGAATTCTAAAAATAAAAAAAAATCACGTTTTGACGGTTTTGGTAAGTAAGACTATATAATATTTAGGACTTTGAAAATACTGTTTCCTGTCGTCTGTTTTGCTACAGATGGCAAGCATTTTCGGGCATCTTTGTAGTGTCTCAGTAGTACGTCTTTCATCTTTTTGGCTAAAGCGTGAATGAAACTAAATAATAAAAAAGATTTCATGATATTTTAATGGGTGGATTCCTTTCAACCGTCTCGCAATAATTAGGTCATGAGATGAATTCGACCCGTGTAATATTAACAACAAGGCCAGATGGTTTAAAGTAAAACCTTTAGCACCTTTTTTTTTGCTTTGACGTGAAACGAAGAAGCCGCATATCGCTTCTTTTCTATTTATGCTAATAATAAAGGATTTCTGGTTATGGCACGCATACTTTAAATTACTGATAAACTTTTTTTCTTGGGTGAATTTATTTAACCTTCTTTCAAAGAAATTAGGAAAGGTCGGCAGTGTAGAAATTTAAACTTAACAGCCTTTGCCAAAAAAAAAAACATTCGTGGACCTGCAGAACTAAACTCTTTATCTAGAATTTCATTGTCATTACGGTTATGAAATGCTAACTTCGGCACTGTGTTCCACAAAGTTTAACCGCTTTCGTCATAATTGTAAAACAATATGGGATACGTTTTACTCGCTTGACACTGCTCATTAGCGAAATAATAAAATGACGCTCATGTTTGAAAATTCGTTAGCAACTGTGACATCTGGTATAAAATGAGAAAACTGACACTATGTCACAGAAAACGTATGGAACAAAACTCAGTTCAATCAGGAATCGCAAGGGGGACCATTTAAAGAGGCGGTTTTAACAAGACGTCCAGCCTTTGATGCTAGGTGAGTTGCTGTTCCATAATTTCAAATTTCATTCAAGTTGTAATTGTGCAAAGAGGTTAGTTATAAATTATTAACTAAGTGTATAGTTTACACTAAACGTATCGTGGCAATCGACGGGAATCATGATTTGTTCATTTGCTGATATAGGCCCACAGCTTACTCGAGTGATATAGATAAAGAAAACTGAAGAGTAGCTAATAAGATATAACACATCTCACATCCCTTCCTTTCACCAACGAAAACAAAAATTATGAAAGGGCGGTTAACGTACGCACACGAAAGAACGTACACCGCCCGAAATAAGCGTCTCTTAACAACAAAATGCGATGCTTATTGATTTTCTCTCAGTACACACTAGGCGAAAAGTTGCAGCAACACGGTGAGGCGACACTTCGCAGCGACAAATCGCTTCGTGTGTACTGGAGAATTTTTGTGAAAATCTTTGTCGCTGCAACAGAATTTTGTCGCCGCAACAAGTCGCACAGATTCAGTCTGATTTGATTTTTTTCGACTTGTTGCAGCGACAAAATTCCGTTGCAGAGACAAAGATTTTCCCCAAAATTCTCCAGTACACACGGAGCGATTTGTTGCTGCGACGTAGTCGCCTCACCGTGTTGCTGCAACTAGTCGCCCGACCTGTTCACATGGAGGGATCTGTCGCCGCGACGTGTTGCTGCAACTTGTCGCCTAGTGTGTACCGACCTTAAGGCATTTGTTATGCTAATGTGACTGATAAAGAGGGAAAATTAGCCTACAATGCAAACGTATTTTGGATTCTGAGGGTCTTATTGGCCGATCAGGATATGGTTTCTTTAAATTCGTAAGTCACTCAATCAAGCGTGTGGCTCATGTTTTATTTTCAAAATTGATTTTTTTGTCTTGCAGTAAAAACATCTCAATCGCCTGAACATTAATAGAGCATTCACCAAAGAAAATCCTCAAAATCAAATTTAACTTGTCGAAGCACTTTCACGCAGGCTACATTGTAGGCGAAAAAGAAGCACAAATAAAAATAATATTTCTCAATCTTTTCATCGTGGTAAGCATTAAGACCACAATTTCCACTGAAAATCAAAGAGGTTGGAAAAGGAAAGACATGCGCTTAGACACACTCGAGTAAGGCGGGAATATTATCCGTTTGTTGCATACCATCATTTGATGAGGAAAATAACCGAAAAAAGATAACTATAGATCTTAGCCAGTTAATCAGAAAAGTAAAGAGCATCATTTGGCGAAATGTTATCTGCTCTTCTCTTTTAAGATTCCTGAAACAGCTTCAAGGATTAAACCTGAAGAACCTGCCATGTCGACTGAGCCTGAACCAGCCATGAACTCAAATCCAGAGCCTGGACCCCACTGGCCGAGCGCATTTGAAACCTGGGGAAAAGCCTGGGACCTACACATTTACTTGTTTGAGGTAACACCGCGGCAAAACGCAATGCGCATGAGCACAAAATTTAATATCCGGTCAGCTTTTTATTTCCGGTCTAGTATATAAACCAATAGCGTAAGCATAACTTTGCCGTCGCGCCAAGTTTAAAAGCAAAAAGGGCGAAACAGACAAAAAAGGGGGCCCAAAAAATCACTTCATTCGAAAGCTTATATATTTTTCTATTCTCAAACTTTTGCACCACATGGTTATCTGTTTGCACCAACGGTGAAAATCATGTTTGAAGTTCGCAGTAGCTCGCGAGCGCTCGACAAGACGAATTTGTTTTTACTGGCTTTCTTGCATGCTACTGGTTTGGCATAAGTTAATTTGGGAGAAGGCGACAACTAAGAAAAGAATAACAATACTTATGAAAGAAACCAAAATAAAGACGTCATCATTATCATAAATAAACTAAAACCAGGAAATAAAATTTTAGTCCGTTCAATAATTTGTGAAAACAAGAACTCAAAACAAAAGATGGGCGGGATTTAATAACAACTTTGACTTTGATGACTGCAGTCACCGGGAAACTAGACATGCCTATAAATGACTTTCATTGAAGAAAATGCCTATTTAATTCTTTTACATGGTTGTTCTTTTGTTGAAGACTTCAATAATTTCAGACTGTGCGGCTCGGCTGCATCTCATGCAAACACGAAACTTCTAGCTGCTAAATACATGGCATGAAAAGTTCGACTTCTAAAAGCCACTGAACCAGCTTTCGCTCTCTGATTCTGAGAATGAAAAAATAAATAAATAGAGTTGTCAACTTGCTGCCAACCGGCTCAACAGTATAATTAAGCTTATGTTTCATGGCAATCAACCCAGAAGAGTTTCGTTTTAAAACACGGTAAAACCCACTGGTAAACAAAACTACAAAGCGATTGTGTGTTGTCGTTTTCCAAATAAAGTTTGAATCGGCTTTAACACATGTAGACTGAGAAACTGAAGAACTGAAAATTAGAACTACAATACACAAGCTTCCAATGATAACGTTTTAATTTTATGTCTTAGTTTCAGCCAGGTTAAGTGAAAAATAACAGTCAAAAACTTTATTTTCGTGAATGAAAATCAGTTTACCTGACGCTCTAGCCAAAATTACACACTGAGTTATTATCATCTTACCTTTTCTGAATCTAATCGACTAATTGTTTCAGTGATCTGTGCCTGGTTATCCATTAAAGCAATTTCAATAAGTACAAAATAGTCAAAAACACGAGCAGCATAAAGCAGAACAACTGAACCACAAGCTGCACACAGAATGAAGCCGAGAGCGCGCGGGAGACTTTGATCTGACTGGAAAGTGTGACTGAAAAAGAGACCGGAAATGCTCAACCTGGCGCATGTGTAGACGTTTTGCCGCGGTGTTGTTTCCAGTACTGTACTTGTTGACTGCTGGAACGTCTGCCGGCGGGCTCGTTTATGATGTCATTGCCAATCACGGTATGAAAGGACTGAAGCTGACTCTGTATCTGACATTGCTATTTATTGGTTGTTCAAGGGCTTTTATTTTATTTTTCGATCCATATAGCTCGCGAGGAATCCTGGGCCTGCTCACTACTTACATCTCGTGGTCTTTAGGCCTTCCGTGCGTCCTTGCGGCTCTCGGTCTTCTGCTTCTCGTGTTCGCAGACGCGACAAAGATGAATCTTGCGCCTCCGCGCTTTCAGAAATTATCCACCGTAATGGGTGCGATGGTTTTCAACATTCTCATCGTTATCACAACAGATCTTATTTTCCTTCTCACCAGCAAAGGCTTCATTTTGCTAATACTTTGTTACGTTTATTTTCTACTTCTTGGCCTGATACTTACCGCCGGATTCCTTCGAATTGGATGTCAGATTTCCAACAACTCGGCGGCACAAATTTACGGCGATGGAGGCCTTTCAAGGCTTCGTATCCTCGCTTTCATCTCTGCTACTCTCAGCATGTTCTTTCTTGGTGTCCAGACCTACTCGGTTATCCAATTTGACGTCCTATCGGAAATCCCCCGTGCATGGCCCTGGTACGCTGTACAGACCCTACTGCGGGCGCTTGAAGTGAGCATGTGTTTTGCGATGATGGCTATTGTGTTTAATAACAGATTCAGTTCATTTTTATTTTGTTGTACAACATTTCTCCCAAAACGATTTAACAACACTGTTTCACCTTTGCCACTAGGTTTTGCAAAGGCGTAAACAAGTAAAAACCCTTATAGTCAAGAATTTGCCACCTTATACCGCTTGTTGGCCCATAGGAAATCAAAGCTCTTGACCAGTGCTACTGGCTGTAGAATAAAATGATTTCTTTGAAGGCAGACCCTCTTTTTTTAACAAAATTAATGACTGGTCTGAAAGGCGAGCCTAAAATGGTTGTAAACATCTGTTAAAGTTTAATGATCTTAGGGAATGTATACGTAGTTCGAGTGTTCTTTTTAGTCTGTCTTAAAGCAATGAGCCGCATTCTACCTAGTTTCCATATTTTTCTTCTCTCACCAAATGGTCGTGGGTTATCAAGATATAAAAATTAAAAGGCTTCATAAACAAAGAAGCCGAAAGAGCGAAGGGCTTTTTCTTTTAGGGCCAAAGAATTCGAAGTATATTAAAAACGGCAGGCTGCAGTCAGTCATGAGGTGGAACAGCCGGAAAAACAAAGAGCAATTAAAGAAGCAGCTGTAACGGCTTTGAGAATCTGCTTGTAGTCTGAGAAAAAGTAGGCAAATGGCCTCTCTGAGAATGCGAAATATTTTTCGCATTCGCAATGCGAATATTTTTCGCATTGGCCCCTAGATGTTATCCTCCCATATCGATGATTTGCGATTTCTGCCCTCTTCTTTTAGAAAAGCGCGATATTTAACAATTTATTATCCATAATGTATTTAATGATTAAACAACACTAAACTTAACAACACCATATGATTGTGTAATATTAACAGCAATGCGGTTATCTCACCATATGTGAGAAGACTTCCTGAACAGGCTTCCTGAAGAGTTGACAGACTGCTCCACCTCGACGTCTTTCGAAAACAAACTTAAGAGAATTGAAGTTTGCAAATTGTAATGAAAAATTCTTAGCAATTCCTTAGTTAGTTCCTTAGTTTGTAATAGCTGTTTACTGCGTTTTTTATTTTATTTTATTATTTATTTGTTCTGAGCGCCATGGGAAGATTATCGGGAGATATTGAGTGCTACCCTCAATAAAAAAGTTTTATTATTATTATTAATTATTATTATTATTATTATTATTATTATTATTATTATTATTATTATTATTATTATTATTATTATTATGTGTAATCCAGTTAAAGTTGACTCTTTGTTGAGCTACACACCTTTTCTTTTTCTTTTTCCTGTTCTTTTCTCTTCTTTATTTTTTTTAATTGATCCAAATTCTCATTCAGTGCCCTTAACTTGTATGGTTTACCCTATAGTTCCAGGAAGCCTCTAGTTTATAAGCCCCCGGCTTCTATGTAGGCCTCCTTGCCTTTACCACATTTGATCTTGTAAATAATTTAGTTGGAATATTGTAATCAAACTATATGAGGGCTGAAACTGAGAGTGGGGTTCAATGCCCTCCGGGGTCCCTCAGGGAACAAAATTAGGTCCATGGCTGTTTCTTGTACTTATAAATGACTTATATGTTGATGATTTAGCTAATGTATGGAAGTACGTTGACGATACGACGGCATCAGAAGTCGTTGCCAAGGGCAACCGCAGTTGTGCTCAGGATATCGCAGATAAGGTCGCGGAGTGGTCTATGCAGAATACAGTCAAACTCAATAGCCAAAAGTGTAAGGAGCTCAGAATATCTTTTGTAAAGAATGAGCCCCAGTTCGCGCCTATTGAAGCAGATGGTAAAGAACTAGAGAGAGTGACTAGTGCGAAACTACCAGGTCTGACCATATCGAGCAACCTTACGTGGAACGAACATATTAGTGACGTAATCAAGAAAGCGTCAAAGCGTCAGTATTTTTTAATGCAGTTAAAAAGATCAAGAGTTCCTCGGCATGATATGTCCACCTTTTACACTACTTGTATACGCTCTGTTCTTACGTACGCAGCACCTGCCTTTTTTGATGCCTTGCCAAAGTACCTAAAAGACGAGTTGGCGCGAGTTGAGAAGCGGGCAATGTCTATAATATGCTCAGGACTGCCCTACCAGGAGACCATCGCTCTAGTGAACATTGTCCCTATTGTAGATTTCATCACGGGGCTATGTAATAATACTTTCGACACCAGTATAGACGACCCTGAACACCGTCTGAACAGGTTAATACAATTTAGTGGACCATCACGTTATGCCCTAAGGTGCAACAGGCGCTTCATCGTACGTAAATGCAGGACAGATCGTTTTAGGAACAGTCTTATTATTAGATCCTGCATCGATAATATATATACGTAGATTTTTAGTCTTTTTATCATATCTTTTATACTTTTATATTTACTGTACTTAGTTTTATATACACATTTTATTAGTTCAATCATTTGTAAATACGCAATTCAGCTTTCGGGCTGCAATGTATTGGTCATTAAACTATCTATCTATCTATCTCTCTATCTATCTATCTATCTATCTATCTATCTATCTATCTATCTATCTATCTATCTATCTATCTCTCTATCTATCTATGTATCTATCTATCTCACTGTATATTATCTTTAATGTATCTCTGTATACTGTTGTTGTATTTCTGGTTAATGGCAAAATAAAATGAATGAATGAAATGTAATTAATTTCACTAGCCTTTAAAAAGTCCTTCCAGAATTTCGCATTGTTTACAATTTCTCTAGCCGTGAAGAAATTGAACACAATGCGGCTTATGCTTTTCCAGCACATACTTTATGCATGTTCGATAACTTGTTTGTCATTTATAGGGCATTTATACCGCTCTATAAACAGAAGTTTTACAAATGTTACTCGCTGCCCCCTTCACAGAAATCGAAGGAGAGGAAAAAATTACCGTGACCAGTATCTGTGACAAAAAGGAAATCTTGTAAAACCTTTCGTTAATCATAAAGAGATATAAAAGGCCGCCCAAGATCGCGCGCTGTGACGTTACGCATAATTTTAGCGTTTCACATAGTGCTAATTTATTACACCTAGGATTTTACGGTGTACGACGGGACACGTGACCAGCCGATGCCAGGGCCTTTTCCCGCCCTACCCATTTTTTAAGAGAAAAGCCCTGGGGACGAGGTTGAAGAGTATTATGGTATTTTTGAAAAAGACCTATTGACTTCGCCTATTTAATCACGTCTAAGGACCTTTATACCCAGTAAAACACTGCAAACCGAAAAGTTAGGGAAGGGCTTTGAATTCAGCCTCAGGAGAAATACGGGGTTGAATGACTAGAACAACTGAATACTGATTAGGGTGAATATTTTATATGAAGAATACTAATAAACATGAAATTTCGTATTGACGATCCTCCTAGTTTGCCAATAAATGAAAAATAAAACTGATTTGACAAAATTTACCTTCCAGAAAAAGTTAAAAAGAATTTTAGCCTCAACCGGACAAACAAAACCATTCACCGGTCAGAACGTATTCTGAAAGGAAATACCGGCGAAGTTTTCTAATCAAAAAAGCACCAAACTGTTAATTCAAGAAGGAATCGGCGAAATGATTCACAAGCAACATAATTTAACTCTTACCAGTTTGCAATTCTGTAAAGGTTTTCAATCTCCATCACGTCGAGTAAGACCCACTCTACTCGAGCAATTTTCTCCCCTTGTGCAGCTGGCTAGTTGAGAAATTTCTTTCACTTGGATAACGGTATTTCGAAGGCAAATAGGACTTAAACTGTTTACCTCAGTTGCATAAAGCATTTGCATAAATATTTCTGCACATTTTGCTGCTTTTGTTTGCCTTTTTCCAATACTCTGGGAACGTTTTTGAAGCTTGGGGAGACAAGGCAACCTATAGGTGGTTTTCACAGTGACGTCATCAAATTGTAAAGTCAAAATAGCGAGGTTGTACGAATTAAATAGACCTTTTTACCGATACGGCGGCCATATTGTATTTATTCGATTTAAGGAGTATTATAGGATGTTTACAACCAAAGACAGCACAAGGATCTTTTTTCCCATTACAATCTTATTCTAAGAAAACTTTAAGAAAAAATGTCCCGAAAAGCGCTCGAAAATACAAACGAAATGTGTTCATGCCCCCTGGGCATCCCATAATACTCCTTAAATCGAATTAGTTCAATATGGCCGCCGTATCGGTAAAAAGGTCTATTATTTTTTACACTAGGTTGAATTTAAACAAAAAGTAAATTTTTGTACAAGTTTCCATTCCCGTAGCATGTTTCATTTCGCAAATACAGCAATTTGAACTTCCGAGTTTTTGCAGTACGTGACACCAAAATAGAAATGCTGTCCCGTTCAAAAAAAGGCTCTCCTCTTGATTTTCAGCAGTGTAACCATTTCAGGTATTAAAGGATATGTTTATGCGTACGTATGCTAGTTCTCGAGTGAAAAGAAAGAGCTTTTATAGAAATATTGAATTCCAGATGTTTTTGTTCATTTGCCGGCGGCCATATTGGTGCACCAAAACGGTGCACCAATATGGCGTCTCCATACAAAGCTCTACAAAGGTGCGTGAAACGTTTCGGCAAACAACTGCGGGCCACAAAGACCTGAGACAAATTGTTTATATATTAGTCCTTTATAACATTTCATTTTCTTGGCTTCTTCCACTGGACAGTGCCTAATTTATTTTTTTGTTGCGTGACAGTGAAAACGATCTATACAAACAAGTGGTGTGAGATGAAAATAACTGACTGTGGTTTGTCTTTTCATCTTACAGAACTGCTCAAGTTTTAAAAATACCTAACCAAGAGAAAGATTTGTGTCTAATATTAGCCTTATGGCAAGATTATACGTAAGATATTTTTAAATTCTACTGCTTAACTTGAAATAAAAACCACGAGGACGATCATATCTTTTTTAAAGCATTTTAAATCAGTTTATGGCAAGCTTGAAAGTGATCAAAATTAAGGTGACCCCACACTCCTGAGGAATGATCAATCAACCGCAACTGAGCGTGTTTACCAACGTAACTCGTTACATCCCAGCTTTTCTCTGTCATGGCTTCAGCACACCTCTTAGCTGTCTGAACGAGAACAACTTGCCCTTCAATTATCAGCTCCGCACGAAGGTCTTGAAAACTCCGATCACAGCCTCCTCCAATCAGGAACCTGAGGAACTTTCCAGTGATCGAAAAACCGGGTGACGTCATTGAACCTTGAGGACTATCGTATTGATATCCAACCGGATGAGTGGGACTGGGCCGATTCTCGAAGGTACCAATCCACCAATCTCCTTTGTGGTTGCTAAAATGCCCTCCCCGCTGGGCTGATAGGATATCCCCGTATGTTGGCTGATTATTGAATGCAGTACCAGTCAAAGTCCACTTTGATAGATCATGATCTTCGAAGTCAAATATAGTGTAACACTCTAGTAGGAACAGAAGATATAGATAAATGACAGTGCCGGGAGCCCATAACTAGGAACGAGCAACTCCCTTACTAGGTCTATGTCAAGGCGTTTTTACGGACCGGTTTATTTTTAGACACATTTCAGGGCACTTTTTCCCGCGAAAATAGAATCTCCACCATGTCTATGGGCGCATTCGAAGTATAAGATATTAAAAAGGAAAACTAAATGTTATTGAAAGACAAAAAATATCATTTTTAGGTCTGTAGGTTTTGCTGACTGGTTCTACTAAGGTTGGAACGTTCCATACCATATTACACCCCCCATATCAGGCCCCAGCCGGGCCCCGACCTACCATATCAGGCCCCGACTTACCCCCCATGTATATTGAGCTGGGTTTCCGGTAATTCACGTATATTTGGATTTTGTTTCTTTAAGAGTAATAGCCGTTTTCACAAAAGAGACTGGTTAACTATCCTTCTTGACGGATAACGGCAGACAGTTAAGGTAGTCTCAATTTTAAGTAACCGTTCCGTTTTTACATCAAAACAAATTATAATGTCTGACGCCATTTATCCGAATCATCCGGTCGTCTGTAGTGTGAAAGCAGCCAATGATACTGTCAAGAATTTTATTATTAATTGGGAAAATATTGTACCAAAATGTATGATATTAATAATCTAACATTCATTGCTTAAAGCAACATACACCTAATTGCAATAACGTTGTCTTAGAAAAATGACAAAAGGAAAAAGCCAACTAGGAATTAAATAGGCTAATTAAGCCACATTCTCATGGTAGATTCATTTGCAGCCGTTGCATTTCCCCGCTAGAATTGTCATTTGTATTGTCTTTCACCTTTAAAACAATAGCAAATTCCAACAGGCAAATACGATGTCCATGTGCGGATGCTGCAAATAAATTCATTAGGCTTATTAGCCTAATTAATTCCTATTTCGCTTTTTCCTTTCTTTCTTTTTTCTATGACAACGTTTTTGCAATTAGGTGTATACTGAGTCCCAGGTAGGGACATGTCAAGGTAAAGCAAACAAAAAAAATCAAGGTCAGGGAATTTTCTACAAAGTCGTCGTGAACATCTTTCATTGATATGTTCAAAATTATATTTTCTTTGCGCACAAGATCCCGTGTAAAAAGGCGTAAAGACTTATCTTCGCGGTGGGTCACCCATCCAGTTCGTAACCCCGACCGACAGGGCTTAACTTGAGAAACGTTTCTGGGCGAAACAGCTTTTTTGGGGGAATTTTCTATTTAGAATATCTGAGTAGACGCAACGAGAATAGACTACGAGTAGCCCCCCATTTTCCTACAACTACAGATTTTCATTTCGCAAACTACAGAATCTGTTGTTTGCGAAACGAAAATCTGTAGTTGTAGGAAATTGAAAAGCAGATTTAGCATTTAGCGTCCGGATTTAGAAAAAGAAAAAAACGAAGAACAAATATGGCCCGTTGCAGTTCGCCCGAAAATTATTATTCTTCGGGCCGTAATACAGATCTGGAACTTTGCAGACTTTGATCTATATATCGGAGGGGAAACCGGCAAACTAAGAAATCTGGGTTTTCGAAAGTGTAAAACGATCATAATGCCTCTGATTCCAATCTCCTATTCCTCTGTCTCTTGTTGTCGGCGTTGCCTTCGCTGTGCTAAGCGATGTTCGGCTTCTGCTCCACGGTTTCTTGTTGACGTCTTTTCCTTCGTTGTTCACGCTGAATTTGAAGTCGGCATTCTCCAGAGTATTTTCATTTCATTTCTGAAATCCGAGTCACCGCAGCAGTTTGCTACCTCGAGACTAATAACCACCGCCCACGTAGATTCTATTACATCACAGAGTTCCATCATGGTGCCAGGAGAAAGATCTACGGGGGAGCTAAAGAGGCATCAACAATCACTTAAGAGAGCAAGTGCCAAAGAGAAAATGGATAGCATTGATTTAAGCCTCTCCCCAGGCCTGCTGCGTCTGGTTAATCAATCGAGGGACAAGGGCGCAAGTTCTTGGCTGAATGCGATGCCTCTCGCAGACAAGTTTAGCCCTCAACAAGCAAGAGTTCAGAGACTCGCTACGCTTGCGTTATGACTTACCCTTAGTCGATTTACCAAGTCATTGCATATGTGGGGATAAATTCACCGTTAGTCACGCCCTCTCTTGTAAAAAGGGGGGGTTTGTAGCGCAGAGACATGATGGTGTACGGAACTTGTTAACGACATTCATCGACAAGATCTGCAATAATGTCGAAATCGAACCACGCCTTCAACCCCTGGACAACGAGCGATTTCATTTGAGGAGCGCTGTTACAAGTTCTGAGGCAAGGTTGGACATCAAAGCGGGAGGTTTCTGGGCAAGAGGAGTTACGGCATTTTTTGATGTTAGAGTTACGCACGTCAACTCCAAGTGTTACCAGAGCAAGCCAACATCGGAAGTGTTCAAAGAGCAAGAAGAAGAGAAGAAGCGCAAGTACCAGCAGCGGGTGTTAGATGTAGAAATGGGTTCGTTTACGCCTTTAGTGTTTGGAACCAATGGCGGAATGGGAAACGAGTGTCAGCGGTTCTTAAAGCATCTCGCAGACAAGATAGCTCAGAAAGACACCGAGCCTTATCATGTTGTAATCACTTGGCTCAGGACACAGATCTCGTTTGAACTCTTAAGATCGGTACATGCATGCGTCAGAGGTTCGCGAACGCCGTTTCGTAGCAAGCTAGAGCAATCATTAGACTGTAAAATAAATGTCGCTAGTGCGGATATCTGAAATACGTGTCTATATGCTTTTATACTTAGGGCTTTTTATGGACACTGGTTTAGCCGTCATTAGTATAATTCGATTGCAGGATCTTAATATCTCTGCATAATGGAATTCTTAATTTTATAGAATTTTGAACTTTTATTATTAATTATATCTATTTCCTCTTCTTTTATGTAAGGTTAAGTTACTTCTATTTTTTAGAATTTGTAAATGAATAGTTTTTTCTATCTTCACTTATAATATATAGGATTGTTTTTGTTCTCTAATGAAGGACGAGGGGTTTCTTTTGTAACGGATGGAATTGTAGATAGTGTTTTTGATGAATTAATTAGATTTTTTTGTAACAGCAGGTTGATTGTAAATAGGATTTTAATTGAGGTTTTGTAATAAAGATTCTTTTCTCTTTTATTATTATTATTATTATTATTATTATTATTATTATTATTACTATTATTATTATTATTATTATCATTGTCATTGGTATTTTTATTATTAGTCTTGTTACAATTATTAACGTGGGTCCTCATATTGATCGTCGGGGCTTAGAATGGTGGGACTAGGATGGAGGGGGTGGGGGGGTTGATATGGGAATAGGGGCCTGATGTGGAGGGCCTGTTATGGTAAGGGGCCTGAAATGGGGGGTTTGATATGGGAGGCCTTGGAATGGGGGGCCTGATATGGTACGGGGCCTGTAATGGGGGGCACTCTGTATTAAGCGGTCACTTAGCCATTCCCCGAGGGTGACCACTCAATACAGGTTCCACTGTAACACCAACATTTATCGTGGATACGACCTGTGGGGTGTTTCTCGGTGATGGGGAAACGGGGGAAACTATTCTTGGTAAGCTATAATTGTTATGTGGTCTGGATATTGTTCAGTGTCTTTTTAATCTTTTGTATTACGTCATTTTGTGATTGCACCAGTCCACAACACCAAGAAACTACCGATCTGTGACATACCACGACTAAATATGAAACCGGTTTCTAGCTTTCTAATTGGCTCTAATCTTTATGGTATGGAATAGCATAAGACTAAAGATGAAATCCTGTTAGTTTAAGCTCCTTATCAGGTTTGCTACCTGCACAGTTAACACCATCCCCAGTATATCCTTGCTTACAAGTACAAGTGAAGGAACGCTTGGTGCTGGTGCAGTATGCATCATCGTGGCAGTTATGTTGTCCTTTCTTACACTTACCTACAAATCAGCAAATGGAAGTTAGGTATAAGAATTTATTTGACGTAAAGTAATCCACCTGCAAAGTCAGTTTTCCCTTTCAGCCGATTAAGAGTTGTTTAAATTATTTATTTGCAACAGTTCAATTGAGTTCAAATTATTATAATCTATATGAATACTCTTCGTTCAATGTCACCAACCACGGCGTGATTTACTAAACAACGGTACTTTCGAAATACCCTTCCCTGCAGGCACACTAAAAGAATCGTTTAGTGTTACGGCACAATGAAGTGGTGGCGTTACAGTTGTGTTTTCCTGTCTCACACTCGTTTCTGTCTGCAAATTAAGAGTTAACGCTGAATTATCAAACCGTAGATCTGTTTTAAAAAGCATCATAATATGCCGTCCACGTTCCTATTTTGTCGATGCCTTTATCATTTCAACCTTATTCACCGCACGTAAACCCGAGAAAAGAAGAAGACATTATCAAAGTATACATTTATGATCAATTAGCATATCTTGAAGCGCTCGGTGGTATATTTACCTGTACATTTATGTTCATATTCACTTTTGCAAACACAGGTGTAATATCCTTTAGCGTTTTCGCACTCTGAAATATCGGTGTCACATAGGTGTTCTCCAGTCTCACACTCGTTTATGTCTGCAATCAAGAGTTAATGCTGAATTATCAGCTGACTTTGTTCGATTTTTATGTCGACTCAGTTTTACGTGTTGCACACTCGGAAAGCTTAGATACGACCTGTTGGGTGTTTCTTGGTGATGAGAAAACTATTGTTGGTTAGCTATTGTTATGTGGTGTGGATATTGCTCAGTGTCTTTTTAATCTTTTGTATTACGTCATTTTGTGGTTGCACGCGTCCACAACACCAAGAAACTACCGATCTGTGACATACCACTGACTAAATATGAAACCGGTTTCCAGCTTTCTGATTGGCTCTAATCTTTATGGTATGAAATAGCATAAAACTAAAGATGAAATCCTGTTAGTTTAAGCTCCTTATCAGGTTTGCTACCTGCACAGTTAACACCATCCCCAGTATATCCTTGCTTACAAGTACAAGTGAAGGAACGCTTGGTGT